GGAGGCTTTAACATGTAAATGACAATGCTGTGAGCTATACAAATGCTAATCAACAAGTTCTAGTGTTAAGATGTGCGAGGCGAGCCTGGCCTGACTGCGCTCTCCTCCTCCTAAAAAAAGATTAGAACGCAACAGTTTAGTTAATAATGTGTGTATAAAAATAAAAAATATTGAAATTATGACTTTAAACAAAAAGTAGTCTTCTGTTCTCTAGATGTTACAGACAAGGCCCGCATCCTCCACCACCTGAAGAAGATGACAAAGTCTGGGATCGCGTCTTAAATTCAGACAGAAGACATGTTTTATTGTCGATGGTAGAGACAGCACGAACAACAAAATGCAAGTGTATTATACAGAGCGGAGGCATGGAGACCTCCAATCAGCAGCTTCCACGGTGCCATGTAGCTTGGCCTTCAGATAGACAAAACAAGGGAAAAGTACAGGCTTCTGCACATTGATAGAATGATGAGTTTAACTTTAACAAAAGTTGTTTAAAAGTGTTATGAAATCTCACATTCCCCCCTCTGGTCACACATTCACCTGTGACCATCAGGATCGATAAACAGCAACATAACATCATAACTCAATACTTTAAAAACTCAAACTCGGTACTTCACTCGGTACTTCAAAAAACTCAGAACTCGGAATACTTCAAAAACTCAGAAAACTCATAAAACATGTTCAGATCTTTCATAAAACTTGTCAACAATCTTCAGTAAAATACCAAACTTCATCAGTCGATGTGGTTCCAGATATTGCTTTGAAAACAGTCTCTCCCACTTCTCTGTTGGTTTCTTCAGGCTGCATTTGTGTCGAGCCATGAATTCTTCTGTGACGTGTCTTTCAATCACACGTTTCAGCTTCAGTGTCCAGATTCAGCAATTCAATTCAGTCCAAATTATGTCCAAATTGTGTAATCCAATTGTTCCAAATGATGTCCATGCAAAAGAGGACGATGGTGTTGTCCATGTCTCAGCAGCTCACAGCCGGAGTGGAATCAGGGGCTGTGCAGATTGTCCAAGTGTGCTGGTCCAGACGCATGGTTTCTCTTGAGGTTTCTCAGTTTTGGCTTTAAAAAAAAAAACAAATTTTTGTGTAAAAAAAAGTAGTCTTCTTCTCTAGATGTTACAGACAATGCCCGCATTCTCCACCACCTGAAGAAGATGACAAAGTCTGGGATCGCGTCTTAAATTCAGACAGAAGACATGTTTTATTGTCGATGGTAGAGACAGCACGAACAACAGATACAACAGAATACAAGTGTATTATACAGAGCGGAGGCATGGAGACCTCCAATCAGCAGCTTCCACGTTGTGCTTGTAGCTTGGCCTTCAGATAGACAAAACAAGGGAAAAGTACTGGCTTCTGCACATTGATAGAATGATGAGTTTAACTTTAACAAAAGTTGCTTAATACCATAGATGATACACACTATGCTAGGTTGGCTGCTAACATTTGCATGTATTGATTTGCAAATTTAGGTAATGACTTATAACAGCAGGGGCCTGGGGTGGCCTTTGTTTATTCGTGCGGGGGAGGGAGAGCTCCAAGAGAGTACTACAGTAGTCCACAGATACAGTACACATGTGGACAATGCAGAAGAGATGCCATGGCAGTGTGTCCCCTGAGAATGCACAGTATATATTTTGTAATCAGTTTGTGCATTTCTCAGAACAATTAGTGCAATCGGCAAAACCTCATGGATAACTTGCTAAAAAGTCACTTCCTCAAAATGAACTTAATTCCTCAAAAGAAAGTCTTCATGTCAATGAAACGGTCTGTGTCTGTGTCCTGACATCAGTGTTTATGAACAACAGTCAAATGATTTAGTCATGTTTTCATTGTGACTGTATTTAGTGAGATATATATGTATGTACTGTATGTCTTTCACATATTTACTGCATATGCTCTTTGCAATTCTACAGCCTTGTGCAACAAAAATAGCACACATACAGTATTTACGTAGAACAAACATACATAACTCAATACTTAAACTCGGTACTTCACTCGGTACTTCAAAAAACTCAGAAAACTCATAAAACATTTTCAGATCTTTCATAAAACTTGTCAACAATCTTCAGTAAAATACCAAACTTCATCAGTCAATGGTTCTCAGATATTGCTTTGAAAACAGTCTCTCCCACTTCTCCGTGTTGATTTCTTCAGGCTGCATTTGTGTCAAGCCATGAATTCTTCTGTGACGTGTCTTTCAATCGCACGTTTCAGCTTTAGTGTCCAGATTCAGCAATTCAATTCAGTCCAAATTATGTCCAAATTCAGAAATCCAGATTGTTCCAAATGATGTCCAAATTCAGAAATCCAGATTGTTCCAAATGATGTCCAAATTTTGTAATCCAATTGTTCCAAGCTGTTTGAGTCAAATAACGTTCAGCGTTATATTACCAATAGTTTCTCTTTCCATAACGATATTCTCTCTTTTTGGAAAGATCACCAACGTGATGCAAAAGTTTACGTTATACACTGAAAAAAATTGTGATTAACATTTACTTAAAAAAATCCTCGTAAGTATTTGCACGAAGATATAATTAAAGATTACTACTATAAATCAAGTAAAACTTTTTATTTCATCAAGTATAATCTGAATGTTATTTGTAAGTAAACCTTACTTAACAAATGTGATTTTTTTTACTTGATCACATAAAATAATCAAGTAAGGTTTATGTGATTTTTTTTAGGTTATTTATGTGTGAAATAGATATACTGAGTAACCATTATGTGTACAGATCATTTACAATAATGGATAACTTGAATAAATGTTATTTATATTTTATCAGTATATTTCATATCATTGCAATAATACTTATTAAGTACTATATGTGTGTAACAATTACATTATTATTGAATTAATAAGAAAAAACAATATGCAAATATCAACATTTAACAACCTGTTTTATTGACAAACTTTTAAGTTCACACATCAACAATGAAAACTAAAAGATGAACTAAAGCTGACCTTAAAAGCAGAACACATGACAACAGAAAACTTAATTATCACAAAAAGGATGCAATGGGAATGGTATAGAGATAGGCCATTGATTTTCTATAATTAAATGTCATTAGCTTAGATGAGATGATGCACCTGCCTGGTCTTTGAGCCTCTGTTCAGCTAAAGACCAGGATGTTGTAGCATTAGACTCTCGCAGTAAATCTCAATGGCTCCAGACCGAGGTAATTTTAGAAGTGGCCGAGCTCTTTCACATTTTCCCTAATTAAAACACTGTTACATGAGGAGTTACTAAGATTCAAGAATAGTCAATTAATTTAACATGTCCATGTTTTAATGACTAATTTTCATATTCTAGTCTAAGCTAGAGTCTAAGCTAAAGTAACAACATCAAATTATATAAAATCTGTGGCCTTTTCTCTTATGCTGAACAAAATTGCTTCTCTTATGTTTTGGACAGTAGCTTGACTTTCAGTGTTTGTATTTTCGGGGATGGCTTAAATGCATCTAAATGTAAGAAAATCTTCTGAAATACTTCGAAGGTGTATCGTAGTGTTGTAGGATAAGCAAGATTGAGGGAATATATTAGACCCATTAGCAGTGCACATGCCTTTGCAGTATTTCCACATCCAGTCACAATCTCCTTGCTGTCGAGAACAATAGAGACATCCACAGGTTCTTCATCAGAGGAAGAACAAACGACCAGGATCTTCATTTTGTGCCGGTGTTCTGCCGAGTTGTAACGCTCTGCCAAAAAGTGACGCTTATGTAATGCTCAGCTGTTAATGATGTAATGCAAACCTGCGCGCATGCGCGTCTCACGGCAGCCGAAACAAACCAAGATGGCGGACAGAAAGTCCGTGAATTCCTTTAAAAGTTATAATACGAACGAAATAAGACACGAATGTCACTTTTAATGCAATTTGAGGCGAGATGTTGATGGTTCCGTGTTGGCACATGTGGGTTTAAGAGTCAAACTTTCGGGTAAAGTTTAGTTTAAGCAGTCAACTGCACCTATGAAACCACTATGCTTATGTTATGATAGCAGTCCTGGCAGCTGACGTAGGCTGATGAAGCGTCCTGTGGCAACTCTACAGCTTACAACTGGATGAATGTTGATAATGGAAATAATAAATTTAATTTAATGCAGCGATCACCTGCAGCAGCACAGCTTGTGGACTGCACACTTTTCTGTCAGTTCAGTTAATAATTTTCATGGGATGAATTCGAAGTTGCAAAAAAAAAAATATGGCCATTTGGATATATAGTAAAACTTTTACTGTCAAGACTCTGCTGCAGCTGATCCATGACAACAACCACAGGATTATTATCACCAGTAACCACAGAGATTACATGCCATGGCTATGTTGTCCTTTGAAATGTAATTCATTCGTGGATTGATGAATTTTGACTAGTTTCCCAGATGAAAGATCGGGTGCATCCTTTCTATTAAAGAAATGAACAACACTGGTGAGTAACATTTAAATTGGAACCAATCAAAGGTTTTTTCATGGGTTTTATGTTAGGTTGTGCATAAAAAATGGGCTGTGGTATTGAATTGAATTTGTGTAGATTTTCCTGCTGAAGGATGTAAAGTTCCCGCATTGATGTCAAGCTTTAAATACAAGAGAAAACACGTTTGTAGTTTTTTTGTGTGGATCAATCAAGTCTGTAGGCTGTAAACTAAGTGTATTTTTAGAAATGTAGGAATTGTATTGACTTTGATTGGTTAGGCCCAACCAGGGACAGGAGTTGTGAATTGGCATCTGCTATAAACTACATTCATCACATCAGCTGCAAGCTTTGTTTATGACTGTGTCTGCATTGTCCCTGTCAAATAAATATATTGATAATGTTGAAAGAGCGTGGAGACTTCATTTTCAGAAATCAATTCATTTGCAGGTGCAAATGGTCTCGTCGTCACACCATGAAACAGACAAAGGGACAAAACATTTCAGTACACTACGCAAACAGCAAATTACAATAATTAACATACGTGTCCAATTCCACAGGAGTCTCAGATTTGTGGAGTTGGTTAGCTGGTGCTCGGGACGACTGGGAGCCAGGTCATTCCTGCATGTGATGTGCTCAGGATACGCGAAGAGTTCACAGATCCTGAAGGCCAGTGCGTTGGCTTTCTGTCCTGGTCAGCCTCTGTAATAATATATTATTAAGTTATTGTACTGTAATGTTTGTACAGTATTATTTCTTTACCAAGTGTTGGCTTTGCTGTTTGCTTTCCTTTGTTGTACTTTGGGTTGGAACTTTGAATAAAGACTGCCCCTTTGAAGAATCTTGCCCACGTTTGACATTTTCATTCAAGTGCATTCCTGCCCAAAAAAGCCTGCAAAAAAAAGTTTCAATGTTAACAGGATTTGTATTCTTAATTATTACAAAGAATAACGCTTCAGCTGTGATGTCTGGTGCTCGGAGACGGGTTTCTGCACATCTTTAGGCAATCAGTTGTTCATTTAGCTCTTCTTTGTACAATGGGGCATACCCTGAGAAAACAATGAATTTGGTTACAAGAGAAATGTTTTGACTTGCGTGTGACAATCAGTGACACTATAGTCGCTTCAAGACTTTTTCCATGTAAAAACTCCCTCCTACCTCATTGCTCTAAGGAAACACAAAAGTTTTAATTTATAATGAAAATACAATAAATTGTAATATTTACTACTAGACATACCTGTTCTGTTTGTATGTCAAGCGCCTTCTCACTCTCAAGTTCCATTGGTGTGTAGCTGTCACATTTGGCAGTGTCCTAAAAGCATTGGAAAAACGTTAGATGCAAAGTAACAAATATTACTGACATTACTATCCCTACCTGGTGAATCTGCTATTTTTCCCTTCTTCAAATCCTCCAAAAGCTTTGATTGGTGGGTCAAGAAAGTGCCATGATTGTCTCCTAAATAAAATAAGGTATAATTTGTCCCACAGTGGGAAAATGTGATTGTTACAGTATTTACTTACTACTTATTTACGGACGAGATGACATGTACAGGCTCAGCAGTTCTCACAGTACAGTCTGACAGCGGCAGGAAGGAAAGACCTGTGCAACCTCTTCTTCACACATAGAGGATGAATAGCTCTCACTGAAGCTGCTCTCCAGAGCAGAGTGTCCTGCAGGGGGTGACAGTCATGGTCCCCCACCTGCTGCACTGGGAACAGCCCATGACTGAGCTGAACTTACTGATGACCTTGTCCAGCTTCTTCCCCCTCTGTGTAACCCAACAATTGAACGAATGGAACTTACAGGATAATCTACAGGCACCTCTGAGGGGAACACAGCCTCCCGCCCATACATCAACTGGAATGGGGTGTGTTTTGGTTGAGATGTGCACCTTTGACCTCAAAGAGAACAGTGTTGAGTAAAATATAATGAAGTACTTTCAATTAAATGATAATCAAGACGGTGGTCTAGAGAACACTTAATTGTTTTTAACGTACAAAACATTAGGTTTGGTTCTTTTCAGGCTTGGGGCAACTGCACTTGCTCTAAATGGCACTTGTTTTATTTATTTTTTACTTGTTTTAATTATTTTTAAAATGTTTTAACAAACATTATAACACACAATGACACATACATTAAGAAAACAACATTAAAAAAAACGGTTGTCTTATTACTGTCAATGAACTGTTCTCACCATTTGTCTTTTTAAAATTATTTTTATTCATAAATAATGTTATTTATACAATGTGTTGACAACAACAACATGTAGTACTTGACAAGACAGAAAATTTCTGGGTTTTAACTTCTTGGGGGAATGATTTCACAAAAAGGTAATTAAAGATAGTACTGTTATACAAAAACAAAATCTTTTCCAATTTTCACATTAGGAGTTTGATTTACTATAAAAAATGGCTGTTTGAAATGTGTGTAAAGAATATGCAAATAACTTTGAGTTTTTCAAAAGATTCTTGAAAAGGTTGCGTATTTATTATGAACCTAAATTCAATATTATTGGAAATTACTAAAGTCTAATGGCTGGAATTACATGACAACGTTTAATAAAGTGTACCAGTTTGGTCCCGTTTGTTTGCCGTAGCTGACTTCGTCTACGGTCCGGCGCAATACTGTGACACGCATGCGGGCAAACCATGGGATTCCACCAACGTGGACTGGGCCCGGGGCCGTCTGGAGGACTCGTTTTCTAGCCCATCATAAGGTACTTTTATTTACTTTGCATTGTTATTTTTCTTGACATTGTCGCTGCTAAACAAATCAAACTGTCTGTCTTTGTCTCCTCAGTCAGGTCTTTTTCTTGCCAAAACAACTTTATCATACAATTATAACCATCTACATCTTCTGGGAAAAGTGGAGCAGGGGCTGTATACAAAGTGGGACGTGCAGTAGAACACACAACACAATCGTCAAAGCCAGCAGCCGCTGACATGTGTTCCACTGTCCACAACCAAGCGTTTCTATCCCCATATCCAGTTGCTTGTTTTAACAATTCAGAAACAGTCCAGTCAGCAGTCACCTGTACGTTTTGTTTGTCTTGCCATACTTCACTATCTATGGCCTCCTTGTCTAGCTCCTTGTCCTCGGGTAGGGCAATTGAAATCCATTGTCTAATGTCTCCTGGATAATGTCCAATAACGTAAGTCCCATTCACATCAATCCCACAATTTTTCACAGTGACTAGCACCGTTGTTTGTGAGTGGTCTGTAGTCAGAATCACTCGTCCCTTCAATCTGTGTTCATTATTATAACCCCAATCAGGACCTGTATTGGATATAACATACTCCCAAGCATCACAGGTGCAGTCCACCGATGCTCTAAAGCTTTTTCCATGTCTCTCATATTTACATGTTGACGGTGTGTAACACAGGTAGAGTGTGTAGTCAGGTCGAAAGGATAATGGAAAGATTGTTGCCATTGGTATGTGGGCTGTAATTGTCGCACCCACCGGGCATTTTACTGTCACAACCGTAGGTAGAGAGTCTCTAACGCTGCCTTCTCCTATGGATCTTTTATTTCTGTCAGTCTTATTGGACCAAAGACTGGATTGTGTTACAAGTCTGGCCCTGTCTCTTAGCTGTGTGTTTTCTAACACTTCCCATGTTAAAATTCCCAGGACCACGACCAAACCAACTGCAGCGATAGCCCATAGGATGGCTCTCCCTCTTTTGGTCGTGGGCCAGGGCTCCCTGTCCCAAGGCAACATATTAAGAGCGAGTGTAAGCGTGTGTGTGAGTCCCTGTCCAACCCGTGAGCGTGGTTACGAGGGTGGGTCAGATGGTCTCGTATGAGAGAGATGAAACCACTTGTTCCCGTGTCCCTTCAGTTGAACAGCTTTGCGAGTGCGGGCCACCACTTCAAAGGGTCCGGTCCAGCGGGGCTCGTTCCACTTCCTTTTGAACACCTTCACACGGACCCAGGCAGGTGGATCCTCCGAGGCCTCCTTCTCGCAGAGGTCGAGACTTCCTTCAACCTGATGGGAAAAACTAGACAACATTTCTCTCAATTGTTCCCAGTACACCCGCACTGGGGGTGTTGGGGAGTCGTCTTTTGTGAAAGGCACCACCCTGTTTCCTGGTCCTGGCATAGGCCTCCCTGTTAACAGCTCGTATGGGGAGAAATGGTGAATGCGGTTAACAGAGTGCCTTGCTGACAACAGGGCAATAGGCAATGCCTGTAGCCAATTCAATTTACTCGTTGCCAGGATTTTAGAGAGTTTACTTTTCAAGGTCTGATTCATCCTTTCAACTCGGCCCTGGGATTGAGGATGGTAGACCGTTCCAAATTTATGTTTTAGCCCCAGATGTTTTTCTACCAATTGCAAGTGTTTGTTCCTGAAATGCGTCCCATTGTCAGACCTTATTAACTGGGGAAAGCCATGCGTTGGGATGTAATGCTGAATTAAGGCTTTGATTACAGAGGCAGCATCCTCTTTTGCAGCAGGATATGCCTCAGGCCATCCCGTAAAGGTGTCAGTGATGACCAACAGGTACCGCTTTCCTGCGCACCTGTTAATCATATCTGTGAAGTCCATCACAACATGTGCTCCAGGCCAAGTAGCAGGTGTGAATTTTCCTGGGGAAACAGCTGAGCAGGGCGATGGGTTATAATTTTGACATATTTGACAGGACCTAGTATAATCTTGGATCATGCTTGTCTTAAAGGGATGCCACCATTGTGACATATTCCTGAGCATCTGTACCTGACCCACATGGGCTAGCCCATGTGGGTCAGATAAAGCCGCTCGTGAGAGGTCCCCCATGGGCAGGGCGGGGCGGCCATCAGGGCCGTACCAGATGCCACTATCTGGATCCTTCTTTGCCCGTTTTTGAACGCACATGGATATTTCTTCAGGAGCTGCTTTTGTTTGGGCTTCAGCTAAAACCTGAAGGGACAGATCGGGCAGGCAGTCTGCCAGGTCTGGCCCCTCGTCCCGTACCACAAACACTCCTGGAGTACTGACCTTGTAGTTGGCAGCTTTCTTTGCGGCCTCATCAGCCGCCTCGTTTCCCCTGGCCTCAAAGTTGTCTGACTTGGAGTGCCCTTGGCACTTGATGACGCTTACCTGTTTTGGAAGCTGGAGAGCGCTGTCCAGCCTCTCCACCAGGGCTCTATGTGTGATGGGTCGGCCTTTAGCAGTCAAGAAGCCGTTTCTTTTCCACTCGGAGAGGTTGAAATGGACAGCCTGAGTAGCATACGCAGAGTCGGAGTAAATATTTACAGATTTACCTTTAGCAAACTCCAAGGCGGCGCAGAGAGCCTCTAGTTCTGCCGCCTGCGCTGATGGTTTGTCAGTTAAAACACCGCTGTTTACTGTAACAAAATTTTCACCGTTAACACTGACAACTGCATATGCCGCTCTCAGGCTGCCATTCCTCTCTCTCCAGCAACACCCATCTGTGAAAAGCTGTAAGTCGGGGTCCTGAAGTGGGTCAGTCTGGAGGTCAGGTCGCACTTTCAGACTGTCTATTACCCTTACACTGCAGTCATGAGGCTCACCCTGTCTTGGCATGTGGTCAGCCATGTTAATGCCAAGAGGTGTAAAAGTTATGTGGGGCTGAGTGAGCACCTGTAAGAGCCGTGACTGTCTCAAAGGTGACATAGTGAAGGCAGCTGAGGACACATATGCACAAACGCCATGATCAGTCAATATTTCTAAAGCATGCCCCATGACTAAATGTGCTGTTTTCTTAATCAAATGTCCCACTCCTGCAGCATACCTAGAACAGTCAACCTGTCTAGCCTCGATTGAATCCAATGGAACGCTAATATACTGTAAGATTTTTCTCTGGCCTCTGCACTTTTGATATAACACCCCGTTAGCTACCTGAGACTGCACTGTGGCATCTAAATAGAACGGGTGCGAATAATCTGGTGACGCCAAATGAGCCGCAGAGGATAGGTCCTGTTTGAGTGAGATAAACTGTGCCTCACTATCTCTGTCCCAATTCAGTTTAGCCCTTGTGTTTCTCATGCCATGTTCATTAACTAAAGCTCTTAAAGGTTTAGTTTTGTCTGCAAAATCTGCCACATAGTGTCTGCTATAGCCTATCAGACCCAGGAAGGACAACATGTCCCCCACCATGGTGGGTCTGGGATATGACAAAATAGCATCTCTGTGCTCTGGAGACATATTTGTGGATCCTCCAGACACACTACGTCCCAGGAAGGTCACCGCAGGCCTGCAACATTGTAGCTTTTCCTTACTGACCTTAAATCCTTTTGAATGTAAGAAGACTATAGTGTCCCTAGTGGCTTGTAGACAGGCCTGCTCCGTTCTCGAGGCGAGGAGGAGATCGTCCACATACTGTAGGAGTACCACGCCCTCCGGAAGCACCAACTCTCTCAGCAGAGCGTTCAAAGTCTGATTAAAAATGCCCGGGGAGCATTTATGTCCCTGGGGAAGACGGGTGTAACGCAGTTTTTGGCCCCTGTGAGTAAATGAGAAGAAATCTCTGCTTTCCTCTGCCAGGGGAATACAGAAAAATGCATTAGCCAAATCCATAACAGTAAAATACTGGAGGTCTGGTGACAGTGATGACAGCATTGTATAAGGGTTTGGGACCGGGAGACACTGAGTTAATGTTAAATCATTTATTTTTCTCAAATCATGGACCATTCTATATTTATTCTGACCTGTTTTTGGCACAGCTAGAGTGGGCGTGTTCCACTCTGATTTTGATGGCTCGAGGACTCCCACTTTCGTAAGTCCCTCTATCACCTGTGAGATACCCTCGACAGCGTCTGGTTTGGCGGCATACTGCTTTATGCGAATCGGGCCTCCTGGCTTCATCTGTAAAGACACAGGAGGGAAAGAGGTGCACAACCCCACGTCCGTGGGACCTTGGGACCAAACTTCTGCAGGCACCTGTTTCAATATTTCATGAGTATCATCATGATCTGTCATGTGTCTACCATGATGTCTGGTCAATGTTTCGTGCTCCACTTCCCCTGTGTCTATCATATTTGCTTTTATTCTGTATGACTTATTTTCAATGCTGTACTGCACATGAGGCAGTTGGGTGTCAGACCAATCGTCAGCTTTTACCAGTCTCTTTACCATTGGACCTAAAGCTCTAGCCTCGTGACCAGGGTGTACAGCCAAGGTGATGTGTGGGACAGCAGAGGAAGACATGTAATACCACTCACACTGTTCAGGAAGCAGCCGTGTATGGGCCGCCACACCCTCAGGCCCAATATAAATGTAATCTGATTCTAATGTCCACCTATCACTTTCAATTTGTTTGAATTGTTCTCTGTACATTAAGTCTTGGTCTCTGTCATAGAATAATGTCAAGTGGGCAGGGTCCAGTGGGAGGTGGTAGGAGGCCAAAGAATTTATCCAGGGTTTCCACTTGAAGAAGACGGAATGCACACCATTATTGTCCGTGGACTTGTTTTCTGGGTCCAGTCTCACCCAGTATATGTCTGCATACTGGTCTGGCATCTCTTCTCTCAGAAGCCAGCAGGAGTCCATCGATACACCGGTCACACATCTGTAAATTTGCCCCCCTGGAAAAGTCACTTGTAGACCATCCGGTCCACATAGAATTGACGCATTGGTTTTAGTCAATAAGTCTCTTCCCAGCAGGTTGACAGGTGTTTTAGGAGCATTTACAAAAGAATGCCACAGTGTCTGTGTTCCAATTTGTGTCTTTAAACGTTTAGTGAGTGGCAGTACCTCAGGTGTCCCAGAAAATCCAACCAGGGTGATGTGCTCCTCAGAGAGCAGGACAGGGCGTATCTTTGTATTGATGGTAGAGTAGGTGGCGCCAGTGTCCACCAGGGCCATCAGGTTGTCGTCCTCCACCCTTATGGGAAGCATAGGCTCTGCAAGCACCTTGTCCCTTGGATTTCCTAGGCAGCCCTAGTAAGATTGTTCATGTTCATACTCGCCCCAGTAGTTCCCATGCTGGAAATATTGTCCATCTCTCGGGACCAGGTTGTCATTCGGAGCCGTCCATGGGGAGGGAGGGCCTGCGCGCTCTGGTCTGGGTCCCATGCCTCTCTGGGGGCCCCTCCCACGCACCATCTCAGGCGCTCCATGGTAGTAGGAGGCCTCTCCTTCAAAGGGGCAGTCCTTCGCCCAGTGACCGTGCCTGTAACAGAGCCGACACACATCCCTGCCCCCTTTCCAGCTTCCACCCCTTCTTCCTCCCCGGCCCCCACGCCCACCACCTCTGGCCCCTCCCCTTGTCCAGTCCTGTCGTGGTGGAGTGGGAAGTCCAGCAGGCATATTATACAATAAGATATTAAGATAATTAACAAGATGGCGCCTCGTACGGTCGACATGGCTCTTTGCTGCTCTCTTTTTCTTTTGTTTTTACTTTTTAACTGTGCATCTGGCTGTTCCTACACCCGTGAGGAACTTATGAACATCCGACCCACCGCTCCCATGGACCTATTGCCTGTTTTCTTGGCATCTGCGGCTGATTTAGTTCATGTTCTAGCCAAAAAAGTGTGGGCCCGTAAAAGGGGAAAGCGAGGAGGCCTGCTCGTGCGTCTTAGGAGGAGAGGAGCGCGCACGGCTCTCCCCGGCATTTTTCTCTCCAACGTACGCTCACTGGGCAATAAGATGGACGAACTCAGCCTGCTCATGAGAAGAAACAAGGACTTCGCCACATCCTGTGTCCTCTGCTTCACTGAGACCTGGCTAAATGAGCGGATCCCGGACTGCGCTCTGGAGCTGCAGGGCTTTGGGCTGTTTCGCGCGGATCGCCATTGTGCGCTCTCAGGGAAGAGCAGAGGCGGAGGGCTCTGTTTCTACGTCAATACAAACTGGTGTAACGATGTGACAGTGATCTCCAAGCACTGCTCTCCTGCTCTGGAATATCTTTTCATTCATTGTAAACCATATTACTCCCCGCGGGAAATTGTTTCATTCATTCTTGCCTCTGTTTACATACCGCCATGCGCGGACGCGCGCGAGGCTCAGCGCGCACTCGCAGAGCAAGTACTGTGTATGGAACGCTTATACCCGGACTCTCTGATTATTATCCTGGGGGATTTTAATAAGGGAAACTTGAGCCATGAATTACCCAAATACAGACAGTTTATCAAATGCCCGACCAGAGAGGAGAACACTCTGGATCACTGTTACACCACCGTGCGCGGAGCTTTTCGCGCTGTTCCCAAGCCAGCCCTCGGCTTCTCAGATCACTCCATGATACATCTGGTTCCTGCTTACAGACAGAGACTAAAGCTCTCGAAACCTGCAGTGAGGAGCTCCAAAGTGTGGTCTGATGAAGCTGTGGAAGAGCTGCGCGCATGCATGGAATCTACAGACTGGGACCTTTTCAGAGCTGCCACAGATAGTTTGGATGAATATACGGACACTGTGACGTCATACATTCACTTCTGTGAGGATAGCATCATTCCAACAAGGACCAGGGTCATCTATAACAACGACAAACCCTGGTTCACTGCTAAACTCCGGCAGCTCAGGAAAGCAAAGGAGTCTGCTTTCAGGGAGGGGGACCGCAGCGGCTACAAAGCAGCTAAATATCAGTTCAGGAAAGAACTGAAAGCAGCCAAGTCCCGGCACAGAGAACGACTACAGGAGCAGTTTGGTAACAACGATACTGCTTCTGTCTGGAGGGGCCTACGGGAGATCACCAACTACAAACCCAAAGCCCCCCCCTGTGCTGATGACCACAAGCTAGCTGACGATCTGAACTTATTTTTCAGTCGCTTTGATGCTGCCCCTGACACCTCTCCCTCCCCCACCCCCCACTACTCTAACGACCCACCCATCAGCCCTGCCCCCAGCCTAACAATAGCCGCTAAAGAGATTAAACAACTCTTCCTGAGGCTGCACCCCCGCAAAGCTCCTGGCCCGGACCACGTGTCTCCGGCCACTCTGAGACACTGCGCCAGTGAGCTTACTCCTGTGTTCACGGACATTTTCAACTCCTCTCTGCAGTCCTGCCATGTCCCGGCCTGCTTCAAATCCTCCATCATTGTCCCCGTCCCGAAGAAGCCCAGGATCACAGGACTCAATGACTACAGACCTGTAGCACTTACGTCTGTCGTCATGAAGTCATTTGAACGCCTGGTTCTCTCCCATCTCAAGTCCCTCACCTCCCCCCTCCTGGACCCCCTGCAGTTCGCCTACAGAGCCAACAGATCTGTAGACGACGCCATTAACCTGGCCCTCCACCACATCCTACAGCACCTGGACTCCCCGGGGACCTACGCCAGGGTCCTGTTCGTGGACTTCAGCTCTGCCTTCAACACAATCCTGCCATCCCTGCTCCAGGACAAGCTCTCCCAGCTCAACGTGCCCGATTCCACCTGCAGGTGGATCACTGACTTCCTGACGGACAGGAAGCAGCGAGTGCGTCTGGGGAAGAATGTCTCGGACTCTCGGATTATAAATACAGGAGCCCCACAGGGCTGTGTTCTTTCTCCCCTGCTCTTCTCCCTGTACACCAACCACTGCACCTCCAGCCACGACTCCGTGAAGCTGATCAAGTTCGCGGACGACACCACCCTCATTGGACTCATCTCCAACAACGATGAGTCCGCCTACAGGAGGGAGGTGGACCGGCTGGTGTCCTGGTGCAGTGGTAACAACCTGGAGCTGAACGCCCAGAAGACAGTGGAGATGATTGTGGACTTCAGGAAGAGCACTGTCCCCCCGCCCCCACCCTCCGTGATGGACTCCCCCATCACCTCTGTGGAGTCCTTCCGTTTCCTGGGCACCACCATCACCCAGGACCTCAAGTGGGAGCCGACCATCAGCTCCCTCCATCAAGAAGGCCCAGCAGAGGATGTACTTCCTGCGGCAGCTCAGGAAAGCCAAGCTGCCTGCACAGATGTTGGTGCAGTTCTACACGGCCATCATCGAGTCCATCCTCACCTCCTCCATCACCGTGTGGTTCGCTGGAGCCACAGTCAGGGACAAACAGAGACTACAGCGCATTGTGCGCTCTGCAGAGGAAGTGATCGGCCGCAGCCTTCCATCGCTGCAGGACCTGTACGTCGCCCGAGCTCGAGGCCGGGCTGGTCGTATCACAGCCGACCCCTCTCACCCTGCACATGGACTATTCCAACCACTCCCCTCAGGCAGGAGGTTGCGGTCCATCAGGACTAGAACCTCCCGCCACAAGAACAGTTTCTTCCCCTCTGCTGTTGGACTCTTGAACACTTCTTAACCTGTCCCCCCGCCCTTTATAAAGTCACTTTACTGCCCATCATACGTCACTTTACTTCACTGTACTGCTGTCACCTTACATTGTGTGCACCATGTGCACTTGTATATTGTAAATAGTAACTGTAACTCTATTTTAAATTTAAATTTATTCTTTAGAAGTGTTTTTTATTCTTATTTTTATTATCTCTTTTTGACTGTTGCACTGAGCCAAAGCAATTTCCAAGTCTGTGACCTCCTGTTACTTACGTTGGCAATAAAAATGATTCTGATTCTGATTCTGATTCTGATTCTGACATGATTAAATTATACATATCTTTCTTGCCTCTTGATGTTGTGGTTGGTCTTTTCGTCCAACCCATTAGTCTGTGGGTGGTACGCAGCGGTGACGCTTCTCTCAATGCCCAGCAGAGAGCACAGAGAATCATTGAGCTAAAACAATGAAAATTAAATGAATAAGAAAGTATGAACAAAAAAAAGTAACAACTACAAAAAGCAATATTCACCTCATTTACAAAATCCCGCCCTTGATCAGACAGGATCCGTTTCGGGCACCCATGCCTGTATATTATAGAGCAAAGTCTTTGCCCAACCTCCGCAGCCGTCTTGGTTTTCAATGGGAAAGCCTCTACCCACTTTAAAAATAATCAGTGGCTGTAAATATGTACTGATAGCCATCAGTAGTTTTGGGGAAGGGCCCAGTTAGGTCAATCCCCAGCAGCTCCCAAACAGCAGACACCTAACATGCCAACAGGATTGTAATGCATAAATGTACATTGGTGGTTGAATAGTAACAATACAATTACCTTTATTGTTTGGAGTGGTGCAACTGTACCCAGAGTCTTTCCCTCACGTTGACATTGGTCACACTCAGCAATCTTAAAACGAACAGGCTTTAGGGAAGGGAATTGTACAGACAAATAATATCACATACCCAATTGTCAATCATCACAGTCATGCCACGCCAGTAAAACCTGGAACAAATGGCATGTCGGGTTTTTTTCATCCCAGTGTGGCCTCCCATGGGCGTAGCATGAAACTCTTGAAATAGTTTCTGCGCCTCATGTCTGGTTTTAATGGCTCTTCTTTTGCCATAGAACAGCTCACCATCTATAAAAAATAATTTATATGAAAACAACAGAAGAAGAATAAGACATGTATAACCATACTAGCAAATGCATTATTACCCTTTACTGTAAACTTAAGGGAGTACTTCCTCCAGTTGTCTCTTTGAAATTTATTCATTCCCTCAGGATAAATGTTCTCTGTGAGGAGGAGAAACATTTCATCCCATTTATGCTCCATTTTGATTATTAATCAAAAGTAGATGTAAATGAGGAAGTGAACAAAAAGTGCAAGGATGGGTCTGGGGAGAGAAAGAGAAAACGTTGTTACATGACTACCAAATAATAACATCAAAAACAGATCAAAACCCACACTAAAATATCTTACTTGAAAAATGATGGAAATCTCTGAATTTGTATAAGTATTGAATTCCTTTCACCATTAGATATCGAAAGATAAAGGCTCAAGGATGGGTCTGGGGAGAAAAAGGGAAGACGTTGTTAAATGACTACCAAGTAATAACGTCAAATACTGTTTGAAAAAAACCCACACAAAATTATCATATTTAAATTATGGAAATCTCTGACTTTGTATTGGTATTAAATTACTTTCACCATTAGAAATCAAGAGATAAGACCATATGTAAAATTATTAATAATGAGGCTACATGCATGAGAACCCACACACATAAATGAAAAGTAATTTCTCTTTTCTACTAGTACATAATGTTACTATCTTTCCACGAGCAAATATGAGAAACTTAATACATTTCTGGAGGGATTATGACCACGTATTCATTCATGCATTACGCGTGTACGTAACATTTTCCCCAAAATCTAATTTCGAACCCAGGAGTTGGTACAAAGTTGAATAAGTAATTTCATATTGTATAGAATTTAGTAGCGTCCGTGAGGTCAGTGCTTGCACCATTAAGTGCTTGCACCATTAAGTGCTTGCACCATTAAGTCCAAATCAACGCGCTCGGTTGCTTCAAGGAAAACGCGGTCAAACTTATGGGTCAAACTTAATAATATCCCTATGCATGCACTTCACTGAAAAAGTACTATATATTTAAAATGAATCACTGTTGGTAGCGTTACATAGCATGTTGGTCCATCTCACACGCCAGCTGTAAACGACTTTTACTAAAAAGTCGTTTACACAGCGTTTGTTTCACTACATATCGATGTATCTAAGCCCCTATCAAATCACAGGATGAATTTCGCTGATAGAACGTTAAAACAATCGAAATATATGCCATTTGAAAACGGAGAGCCATACTCACGTGTGTTTTCAGCTTCGGGTAGAAGAGAAAACAAGTCTGTAACATTACATTACTTGTGATTAATTTCACAATGTTCACATAATTATTATTTAATTGTCTAAATTCACAAATAATTCATACAATTTTAGTTGCACGGGGGGAACATAAATGCTTTGGGATATATTTTCAGTCTCCAAACGAAAAAAACGGAAAGACGTATCTACTTGTTAAGCAATAATAACTAAGTATCAGCCATGTTTAGTGGAGTGCATAGCGATATAAGAAAGACAGTCATGAAAGTAATGAAAACTGGCCTCAGAAGAAGCTACGCTACAACATTAACTACGCTATGAATCAAATCACGCGCAGCGTCGTTTGTACATACCGAAGCACGCAGTCCTCTGTACACAGCCCAGATTTACGTTTGAGAAACGAGACCAAACTCTTTGCTAAATAAAGGCATGCCTGTGCTTGTTGTTGTTTGAGGAGGACACGTGACAAAGCAAAAGCATGATGGGAACTGTAGTATTTGACGCGATTGTTTCAACACAAGTTTCCGAGCTGTATTATACTTATTTGCTTACATTGCGTAGCCTTGTGTTACTTCCAAGGAAAATGAGAAAATAAATTATTTAGTTATTTTCAAATGGTTAACTTGTTTAACTAAGCTAGCAAACACCATGTGCCTTATTTCCCGCGGATGGAAATTAGTCCGATTAACGCTAAACTAATATTCAATTGAGTTTTAAACCAGCGTTAGATAACATAGCATAGGCTATGCCTTGTTTCATGTGACGAAAAGTTGAATATCTCTCAGTTCCATTTTGACGCAGGAGAAAAAATACCTAGCATCTAAAAATATAATGTTAGCCGACGCTGATGTGACGCAATGACGACATGTGTACAATGCAACACAACCCAAAGACAATAATGAATATACTGTCACATGAAAAACAATTGAAAAGTTACTTACATTAAACTTCACGTTCCACTTCGTGTTCGTTCGAGTCTGCTGGGAGCATGGATCAATGACAGATTGTCATTGTGTGCGGGGCAGAAACTCGCCAATGTAACCCTGCTCACAAGTGCCACCTGGTGGTTGTTTTGGTCATTGCAGCATCACTGGGAGGGGGGAAAATAAAAGACGCGTGAATCACACAAGACTCACGTGTGATTCACGCGTGAAAGGCGACAAAACGGAATGGGACCTACTGTAACTTTAATATAATACAGAAGCAAGTCGAAAGTACTGTATAATCGATTACAAGAAATATATGGTAGTATGTTTACATCTGTACATGTTAGCATCATGAGGGTTTGGTACAAAGAGACTCGGTAAAGTGACAGTGGCCACAAGTGGTTCTGTATTGTACATTTATCTATTGTGAGATCAATAAAGTTCTTTCCTGGTCCATGTCATGTGTAAACTCTGGTCCATATCCTTTCCTACATGTACGTCTGGGTCTGATCCTAGTGGCTGCAGTTTCTTCGGTTGAATCCCCTCCGACCAATCAGCGAGCAGGTGAGGCGGGTGTTGTAGGAAGGTGTCAGTGATGTCAAGAGTTTGTGCTGAATTTTCTAGTTGTAATTTGGCGGCGAATGCGATAGTAAAGTCATCTGTTCTGGTTCTACTCAAAATATTGAGGAATTGAAGTTTGAGCAAGAGGAATATTTAGCAGGTTTCATCGCTGCAAATATGTTGTGGCTCTACTTCCTACTGGCTCCGTCAGTGGCAAAGGAGATGACTAAAGCTAGGCTAAATGCTAAAGCTAGGCTAAATGCTAAAGCTAGGCTAAATGCTAAAGCTAGGCTAAATGCTAGCGACTCACTCGGCTGCATTACTTACGTCACGGTAAACTCAGATCCGTTCGTTTTAATCTGTGTGACAGAGTCATTGCTCTCCCCCTGTCACTAATGCTCTAGTTGTGTGCGCACTCTGGCCATACTCCCCGGTGCGAGACGTGCGCTCCCGCGCAGAGTTTTACAAACCACAATAAAGCATGTTGTACTCACCGGTCCCGCTACGTAATCACAGGTCTCCACACATCACCTCGTTTTCTCCCCTCCATAAACCACACGGTAGCAGCCTCCATGGCTCGCTGCAGCTCGGGGGGCACACCGGGTTCGCGCGCCCGTTCATGCTCTCCTCCTTCCTCGTACGTAGTACCAGGTGACCGGGCAAACCGAGCGCATCTATGCCATTTATACTGGGGTCACGCACGCTTTCACGCTTTGTTTGTGTAATGTTCCTTTGTTTAATGATATCTCCCATTTTCATGGAAGGGAATTAAAGGGGAGGTAAGTTGAAATAATACTATTGATAATTTGAGAGGAGTTTCAACCAGAAAGGGTTGTTTTGTAAAATTATATTAACTATTTTGTGTAACGCCCATGGGAGGGGCCTGGGGCTTAAGAGGGGAGCTGTTTGGGCTGTACAGGGAGTCTGTGCCTGGTTTCAGAGAGGGCAACATCAGGCTATTGTGGCATCCTGGCATCCTGAGAGGTTATGTACGCAACTTATGTACATTTGTAAATATGTACATATATTGTTTATTCACATGTTTGTAAATAGCACTGGGGAAATAAACTGGATAAACACTTTTTTTTGACTGGCCATTGGTTTTTTGAGAAGTGTTCCCACAACAATCTGCAAAAGGAGTTAACCCCTCCCACCTGTTAACGGAGCTCAATGGAGTAAATCCAGACCTTAGTGTGAAATGAAATCAGTGCGATGGTATGGTAAGACCAGGCTGGGTTGGCAGTGTTCTTTAGTCCTCCTCGTTCATTGTACAGTCTGACAGCAGCAGAAAAGAAATACCTGCAGAACCTCTCCTCCACACAACGAGGGTGGATCAGTCTGTCACTGAAGCTGCTCTAAAGAGTGTCCTGCATTTGGCTTCTTTCATTTCCAGTTAAAAAGTTAAAGACTAAATCTCGACGCTCTGAGCCTTTGATGACATTTTGAGAGGCAGATATCCTTGAAAGATATATTTTTGGCCTGATTTATCAATAACGCTGTTTCCATGGCAGCAACAGCGCAAATAAATGCACAATGTGTCGGAAAAATGGCTTCAAAAAATACTTTTCAGCAAAAACAGAAACATCCGCTTTGAAAAATTAATAGTGTGTTTTTTTTCTGGTAAATTCCTTTTTCCGGGGTTCAGAGGAATCACTCTACAATCACGTTTTCATATATTTATAGAGAAATATTATTTCTCTGGAGTTAAAAAGCTCCTTTAAAACTTTGGCATGTGTCACAAACATAAATAAAATAGGAAATAAGTGACCTGTATTTACTCTATAGTCCATTTCACAGACACAGGTGACCCAAAGTGCTTTATAGTGTTTTGGAGTACTGGAATTACAATTATATTATCTGAATTTGAAAACGTAGAGTTTTTTGATTTGTCATTTTGAACCTGCACAACATATTTTCACATCAATAGACAAATAATGTGAAAGCCAGATACAGTCAGACCTGTAAAGCTCAGTGGGGCGGGGCCTGGTTCTTTTCATCCATGACTGATTCTATTTATAGTTTTTAACTTGTTGGCACAGAGACAAAGCTATGTCCTAGTTTGTGACCTCCTCCTGTTACTCGCAATGGCAATACAAATAATTCTGATTTTGAAAACAGAAAGATGAATTAGATTAGAATAAATATTTAACAGTGTGTCATATTTAACATGTGTCAGCTGTAAAACGAACACTATAAGACATGGATCTTCACCGAGTGTCTCTGGACTGGTCTCAATCAATGCACTTTTAGAACAAAGTCTTTTATTGAGGAAAATGTCCAATAAATGTGGATTCATAAAACACAATGAACCAGGAATTTCCCAGGAATGAACAATATTAACTTTGGATAAACATGACATCAGACTAAACAGGATTCAAACCCACAACCTCCTGCACCACATGAGAAGGTTAGGTATAAGTAAGTACAAGCTGTTTTATACCAGACACAGAGAAACACAATCATATACACGCACACATTCAAATACAGACACACACACAATGTCATACACACACACACACAAACCTTTTATACAAAAACCTAATGATTAATAAAAGAAGACTTTATAAAAACACTTGATTCATGATTAGTATAAACACATTTCATGATTCAAGATAGAATTTCATTTGATCAAAGATGTTGATACATGGAGGACAGAAGATACAAGTATCTGTGTGTGCTGTTTTTAGTTTAATCTACAACACACACAGTCATACACAAATATATACACACAGGGATACACACACACAAAGTCATACACACACACTCATACACACAAACATATACACACACACAAAGTCATACACACAAACATATACACACAGGGATACACACAAATTCTTACACACACACACTCGCAAAGTCATACAAATAAACATAAACACAGAGTCATACACAGTGATACACACAAATAATTACACACACAAAAACATATATACACAATCATAAACACACAGACACAATCATATACACACAGACACAAATGCAAAGTCATACACACACAGTCATACACACAGAGATACACACAAATTCTTACACGGGCAAACACTTATGCAAAATCATATACACACACACGCAAACACACACACACACATAGAGACACGGACATATACACACAGGGATACACCCTCATACACAGAGACACACAATCACTTTCACATACAGACAAACACACAAAGTCATACACAAAAACACACACACTAAATGTGTCAATATCTGTGTTCAGGAACTATGACACTTTCCAAAGCACTAAAATCAAATCTGAAATATTGTTGTTTGAGGCCCCTCCCCCCTGGACTGCCACTTTAACGTGGTGGGGGAGTTTGAGTACTCGGATGATCCTATGCTGTCTGGGGCTTCATGCCCCTGGTAGGGCCTCCCATGGCAGACAGGTCTCAGGTGACGAGTCAGACAAAGAGCAGTCCAGAAGACACCATGGACAGCACAAGCACAAAACCAGTGACGTCGCCCGGCATGGCGCAGCCGGGGCCCCACCCTGGAGCCAGGCCTGGGGTCGGGGGTCGTATGCGAGCGCCTGGTGGCCGGGCCTTAGCCCACGGGGCCCGGCCGGGCTCAGCCCGAATGGACGACGTGGGCAGTCCCTCCTGTGGGCCCACCACCTGCAGAGGGGTCCGTGGTGGCGAAGCGGTGCAGAGAGGACTGGGCAGCGGTCGAAGGCGGAGACCTCGGCGACCCAGTCCGCACACACAACAGCTGGCTCTTGGGACGTGGAACGTCACCTCACTGGGGGGGAAGGAGCCCGAGCTTGTGGGGGAGGTTGAGCGATACCGACTAGAGATAGTCGGCCTCACCTCCACACACAGCTTGGGCTCTGGAACCCAACTCCTTGAGAGGGGTTGGACGCTCCACTTTTCTGGAGTTTCCCGCGGGGAGAGGCGGCGAGCTGGGGTGGCCATTCTCATTGCCCCCCATCTCAGCCGCCACGTGTTGGAGTTCTCCCCGGTGAATGAGAGGGTCGCGTCCCTCCGCCTCCGGGTGGGGGACAAGTCTCTCATTGTTGTGACGGCCTACGGGCCTAACAGCAGTGCAGAGTACCCGGCCTTCTTGGAGTCCTTGGGAGGGGTACTGGACGGTGCACCGCCCGGGGACTCCGTTTTTCTCCTGGGGGACTTCAACGCCCATGTGGGAAACGCCAGTGACACTTGGAGAGGGGTGATCGGGAAGAGCGGCCCCCCTGATCTGAACCCGAGCGGTGTTCAGTTGTTGGACTTCTGTGCCAGTCACAGTTTGTCCATCACGAACACCATGTTCGAGCACAAGGGTGTCCACCAGTGCACGTGGCACCAGGACACCCTAGGCCGGAGGTCGATGATCGACTTTGTTGTCGTATCATCTGACCTTCGACCGCGTGTCTCGGACACTCGGGTAAAGAGAGGGGCGGAGCTGTCAACCGATCATCACCTGGTCGTGAGTTGGATCCGCTGGCAGGGGAAGAAGCCGGTCAGACCTGGCAGACCCAAGCGTATAGTGAGGGTCTGCTGGGAACGTCTCGCTGAGCCCCCTGTCAGACGGACTTTCAACTCACACCTCCGGGAGAGTTTCTCCCAGGTCCCGGCGGAGGAGGGGGACATGGAGTCCGAGTGGACCATGTTCTCTGCCTCAATCGCCGATGCGGCGGCTCGTAGCTTTGGTCGCAAGGTCTCTGGTGCTGGTCCCGGCGGCAACCCCCGAACCCGGTGGTGGACACCGGCAGTAAGGGATGCTGTCAGGCTGAAGAAGGAGTCCTATCGAGCCATGATGGTTCGGGGGACTCCTGAGGCAGCTGTCCAGTACCGGCAGGCCAAGCGTGCCGCGGCCCGGGCTGTTGCAGAGGCAAAAACCCGGGACTAGGAGGAGTTCGGAGAGTCCATGGAGCATGACTATCGCTCGGCCTCGAAGAGATTCTGGCAAACCATCCGGCGCCTCAGGAGGGGGAAGCAGTTCTTTGCCAACACCATGTACGGTGCGGGTGGAGAGCTGCTGACCTCGACTGGGGATATTGTCGGGCGGTGGAAGGAATACTTTGAGGTTCTCCTCAATCCCCCCGTCACGTCCTCTGTTACAGAGGCAGAGGCTGAGGATGTTGGGGCGGATACATCCATCTCCCTGGCTGAGGTCACCAAGGTGGTTGGTAGCCTCCATGGTGGCAAGGCTCCGGGTGTGGATGAGATCCGCCCTGATTATCTAAAGTCTCTGGATGTTGTAGGACTGTCTTGGCTGACACGTCTCTGCAACATTGCGTGGCGATCGGGGGCAGTGCCAATGGAGTGGCAGACCGGGGTGGTGGTCCCTCTCTACAAGAAGGGGGACCGGAGGGTGTGTTCCAATTATCGTGGGATCACACTCCTCAGCCTCCCCGGTAAGGTCTACTCCAAGGTACTGGAGAGGAGGCTACGGCCGATGGTCGAATCTCGGATCCAGGAGGGGCAGTGTGGTTTTCGTCTCGGTCGCGGAACACTGGACCAGCTCTATACTCTCCATCGGATACTCGAGGGTTCATGGGAGTTCGCCCAACCTGTCCACATGTGCTTTGTGGATTTGGAGAAGGCGTTCGACTGTGTTCCCCGGGGTGCCCTTTGGGGGGTTCCCCGGGAGTACGGGCTCGGGGGTCCTCTGCTGAGGGCCATCCGATCCCTGTATGACCGGAGCCAGAGCTGTGTTCGCATTGCCGGCAGTAAGTCAGACCTGTTCCCGGTGAATGTTGGCCTCCGACAGGGCTGCCCTTTGTCACCGGTTCTGTTCACTGTATTTATGGACAGAATATCTAGGCGCAGCCAGGGGTCGGAGGGGGTCCGGTTCGGAGACCACAGGATTTCATCTCTGCTGTTTGCGGACGATGTTGTCCTGCTGGCTCCAACGAACCAGGACCTGCAGCATGCACTGGGACGGTTTGCAGCCGAGTGTGAAGCGGCTGGGATGAGAATCAGCACCTCCAAATCCGAGGCCATGGTGCTCGACCGGAAAAAGGTGCCTTGCCCTCTGCAGGTGGGTGGAGAGGTCCTTCCTCAAGTGGAGGAGTTCAAGTATCTCGGGGTCTTGTTCACGAGTGAGGGAAGAATGGAGCGTGAGATTGACAGGCGGATCGGTGCAGCGTGCGCAGTGATGCGGTCGCTGTATCGGACCGTTGTGGTGAAGAGGGAGCTGAGCCGAAAGGCAAAGCTCTTGATTTACCGGTCAATCTTCGTTCCCTCCCTCACCTATGGTCATGAGCTTTGGGTAATGACCGAAAGAACGAGATTGCGGATACAAGCGGTCGAAATGAGCTTCCTCCGCAGAGTGGCTGGGCGCTCCCTTAGAGATAGGGTGAGGAGCTCAGTCACACGGGAGGAGTTCGGAGTAGAGCCGCTGCTTCTCCACGTCGAGAGGAACCAGTTGAGGTGGCTCGGGCATCTGTTCCGGATGCCTCCTGGACGCCTCCCTGGGGAGGTGTTCCGGGCACGTCCCACCGGGAGGAGGCCCCGGGGAAGACCTAGGACACGCTGGAGGGACTATGTCTCTCAGCTGGCCTGGGAACGCCTTGGGGTCCCCCCGGACGAGCTGGAGGAAGTGTGTGTGGATAGGGAAGTCTGGGCGTCTCTGCTTAGACTGCTGCCCCCGCGACCCGGCAACGGATAAAGCGGAAGTAAATGGATGGATGGATGGATGTTGTTTGAGGCAATAGTCGACAACAGGTTTAAGTCTCAATAATAAACTTTAGAACTAACTTCCAACAGGCGTCAGGACCAGAGGAGCAGAGTTTGTACCTTCTTCATTGTTGCATGGATTAAACATCGGCAGAATGTTGTCAGTGAAGCCACAGTCAGTGAAAGACCAAAGAAGAGACTTTTTATCCACGTCATAGAAGGAGACCAGACCTTCATCATAATCCACAAACACTCCCAACTTCTCTGGACACGACTGAACAGAGAGATCTACAGGAGGCTCGTCTGATGTTTTGTAACGACCACCGCCCAACAAGAGTGTCCAGTATCCTTTCTGTACAGTTTGAGAGTCTTGATCTTTTCGATCCACTGACTCTTTGGCCACTCCTACATTCCAGTCTGTCTTTCCTTTGACCTGAACCTCAAAATAAAACTTTCCTGATGAGAACTTCTGTTTCCCTAAAACACAGAAAAAATATGTGAATCTCTCAGGGTTGTCTGGGAGATTCTGTCTTTGGTCACCGCAATTAACCAGTTTGAGATCTTTAGACAGACCTAAGTTTGGATGTGCAGTGTCTGGATCTAGAGACACCTCAGCTGCAAACTCTTGAACTTTCTCTAACTCTGCTTTAAAGAACGTCTCCATCTCTGTGTTCAGTTTGTTCCTCAGCTCAGACACAGCTTGGGCCCCTGTCCCCTTGTACGACGGGATCCTGACAGTCTTCTGGCTCCAGTCTCTGAGCTGTAGAGCAGGTTTGACTGTAATGAAGGTTTGGACAAAGGACAGGTGGTCTCCAGAGGTCCACAGCTGCTCCATCTCAGCTCCTCTCTGCTCCAGCTCAGAGATCTCTGTCTGGATCTGCTCTATCAGCTGAGACGCCTCCTCCTCCACCTTCTGATGCTTTTCTACAATAGACTGTTTGAAGCTGTCTGCACTTTGTTGAACACACTCCATCAAAGCGGTGAAGACTCTGAGACCTTCTTGTATTTCTGCGTCTGCCTTTCTCTGACTCTGCTCCACTGAGCGCTGGATCTTCTGGACTTTCACACGTCTGTCTTTGATCTGTTTCTTCAGTGTGGCCTGCTGCTCCTCTCCCTGCTCCTTCAATAAGACAGTATGATGCTTTGTATCCTCTGTATAACTGCACTGCAGGCACATGAAGTGTGAGTGGTCCCTACAGAAGAGCTCCAGGGGCCGCTGGTGCTCAGGGCAGATGTGCTCCTGCAGGTTGGGCAGAGGGTGGATCAGCTGGTGCCTCTGCAGACGGGGGTTTGTGAGGTGTGGCTGCAGGTGGCTCTCACAGTACGACATCAGACACAGCAGGCAGGACTTCAGGGCTCTGAGCCTGGGCTCTGGACAGACGTCACAGTCCACCTCTCCTGGAGCAGTGGACAGGTCACAGACCTCTCCTGGAGCAGTGGACAGGTCACAGACCTCTCCTGGAGCAGTGGATGGAGCCTCTAACAACGTGTCTTCATCTTGAGGCTTGTTTCTGAGCAGAGAGATCATCTCTAACATAAAAGTATTAACTTTCAGCTGTGGTCTTGGGCTGAAGACCTGTTTACAAAGTGGGCAGCTACAGTGGACGCTGGTGTCCCAGTGTTTGTTGATGCAGATGCTGCAGAAGCTGTGTCCACACGGTGTTGTGACTGGATCAGTGAAGACCTCCAGACAGATGGAGCAGAGAAACTGCTCCTCACAGAGAGAAGAGCTCACAGCCGCCATCACTGCAACAAGAGAAACAAAAACACATTTGGTTTAGTGTTGGTGAAGAGGCCTCTGCATCTGTTAAAGCTTCAGCAGAGTCTCATTTGTTTTTACTTATTTACATATTTCCTCCTTCTGGAGCATAAACTGATCAGTCTTTGTAGAGAAATGTGTCTTCTGCATTTGACCCATCCGGGCATTACTCGGCCCTAGTGACTCGGGAACCTGTCAAGAGCAGGACCCATCTCCACATGTTGATGTTCGTGATCAGGACTGAAACTACACAAAGCTGTAGTTTCAGTTTCCATTGTTGCAGCTTCTGTTAAAAGCAGAATGATGTTGGTGCATTCTTTTGCGGCGCCTGAGGAGGATGTGGTTGAACTGGTTAAACTGGTGGGTGTCGTGTTGTAAAGTTCCACTGAACGAGACTAGAACTACATCGTCTTCAGTCGCCGTGGAGACGCTTTGCACTTTGAATCCAAAATGAAAACGTGTCAATATTTTTTAACGCACTCATTTTGTGTCATTCATTAATCTTAATTAAACGCGTTAAAGTCCAGATCCCAATATTTATACAAAGTGCAAAGTTATGTACAGAGTAACAAGTGGATAAAGTGACGTTCAGTGGACATTCTGAAGCTGCAGTATTGCACATGATTACAGTATTTACTATCTACAGATGAATGACATGTACAGGCTCTGCAGTTCTCATTGTACAGTCTGACAGCAGCAGGAAGGAAAGACCTGCAGAACCTCTCCTTCACACAGCGAGGCAGAAATTATAGAGAAAAACCCCTTCTGTATTAAATCATTTGACAATTCAAAGTAAATTCCAGGTTAAAAACAGTTCTGTTTAGCAGTGCTACAACTAAGGGATTTTATATTTTTATCTTTCTTTTTAATGTACTGTGATTATTTATGATTTTAATGCTTTCTTGTTTTGTTCAGCACTTTGAGTTTCCTTGTGTATGAACTGTGCTATACAAATAAACTTGCCTTGCATATTGACAATACTACAGTAGGGAACAATGTACATTCTTTTGTCATTTCATCAGATTAGCACAAACTACACATCATTCACCTCATCATCGCTGATTTCTTTCATGTCATCATCAAAATGCACGGTTTTAACTTTAGTCGCCAAAAGAAACACAAACAAGATATTGATATTAAACAAAGGCGTTTCATTTTCAACACTTGTACAAACAAACATTCCAATCTGGTTTCTGTTCCATAAACTTTAACCAAAAAGTAGAGTAGAAAAAGCACCACTAAATGTAGAAGTAACAGATTTAAGAACTCTTTTATCTCTGTTGCCATTGGTCTTTTAAAGCAACCATTGAAATCCTGTTGTTTTGTGTATTTATTGTGTCCTTGTGTGTACTTGTGTGTCTTTCTGCTGCTGGAACCAAACTGCCCTCGGGGATAATAAAGATAATAAAGATACCTTGAACCTTGAATCTACCAAACTGTGGAGCGTGGCTTAGATCTGCATCAACACCAACGACTGTGTGAAAAATCTTACCGTGATTTGACGACACAAATAAGTGTGAGGCAACACTCGCAGTGCTATTGTGTAACTGTGTGGTGTTCACACAACAACACTCTTTATCCAACACGGTCCCTGACATTTTAACACTGGTATATTTGCTGTGTACAATCATGACTTCCTCTTTCCCCGTTACTCAGACAGACTCACCTTTACTCAGAGATGAGAGAAGCAGAAAGGTCTGTAGTTTGATTCCTTTGGTGCCGCACTCTCCTCTGTCTCTGTGTGAGGCTCCTTTCTCCTCAACTTCTGCTCTTTTGTTTTGGCTCTAAACATTTCCTGGTTGGTGTCTGGACAGAGGGCGGGACCTTCAAACATGTGACTACAGCAGCGTCTGGAGATATGTTTCTGATGTGAAAACCTGCATTTATTTATGTGTTTATTTAGTAGAGTTCATGTTTAAAGTGTTGGACAGAAACCATGTGTCAGCTGTAAAACGAACACTATAAGACATGGATCTTCACCGAGTGTCTCTGGACTGGTCTCAATAAATGCACTTTTAGAACAAAGTCTTTTATTGAGGAAAATGTCCCATAAATGTGGATTCATAGAATTTCTCAGGAATGAACAATATTAACTTTGTATAAACATGACATCAGACTAAACAGGATTCAAACCCACAACCTCCTTCATCACAGGAGAAGGTTAGGTATAAGTAAGCACAAGCTGTTTTATATCAGACACACACACACACACATTCATACAATCATATAATGCACACAATCAAATACAGACACACGCACAATGTCATACACACAGAGACACACGCAGAGTCATACACACAAACATATACACTTTTGTGGACGTGATTCAGAATTTGAGCAGAAAAGACACACACACAAACACACGCAAAGTCACACAGTGATACACATATACACAATTATAAAAAGACAGACACACTCGCAAAGTCATACACATGAACATATACACAGTGTCATACACAGTGATACACACAAATAATTACACACACAAAAAAATATATACACAATCATATACACACAGACACAAATGCAAAGTCATACACACAAACATATACACACACAGTCATACACACAAATTCTTACACACAGAGACACATTTACACACACAGGCAAAGTCATACACACAAACATGTTCACACAGTCATACACACAGTGATACACACACATTTTTACACACACAAACACACTTATGCACAATCATATACACACACATGCAAACACACACAAAGACACGAACACATAGACACAGGGATACACACTGATACACAGAGACACACAATCACTTTCACATACAGACAAACACACAAAGTCATATACAAAAACACACACACACTAAATGTGCCAATATCTGTGTTCAGGAACTATGGCACTTTCCAAAGCACTAAAATCAAAGCTGAAATATTGTTGTTTGAGGCAATAGTCGACAACAACAGGTTTAAGTCTCAATAATAAACTTTAGAACTAACTTCCAACAGACGTCAGGACCAGAGGAGCAGAGTTTGTACCTTCTTCATTGTTGCATGGATTAAACATCGGCAGAATGTTGTCAGTGAACCCACAGTCAGTGTAAGACCAAAGAAGAGACTTTTTATCCACATCATAGAAGGAGACCAGACCTTCATCATAATCCACAAACACTCCCAACTTCTCTGGACACGACTGAACAGAGAGAAATACAGGAGGCTCGTCTGATGTTTTGTAACGACCATCGTCCAACCAGAGTGTCCAGTATCCTTTCTGTACAGTTGGAGAGACTTTACCTTTTCTGACCACTGACTCTTTGGCCACTCCTACTTCCCAGCCTGTTTTTCCTTTAACCTGAACTTCAAAATAAAACTTTCCTGATGAGAACTGTTGTTTCCCTAAAACACTTAAATAAGTCGTGAATCTCTCAGGGTTGTCTGGGAGATTCTGTCTTTGGTCACCGTAATGAACCTGTTTGAGATCTTTAGACAGAACTAAGTCTGGATTTGCAGTGTCTGGATCTAGGAACACCTCAGCTGCAAACTCTTGAACTTTCTCTAACTCTGCTTTAAAGAACGTCTCCATCTCTGTGTTCAGTTTGTTCCTCAGCTCAGACATAGCTTGGGCCCCTGTCCCCTTGTATGACAGGGTCCTGACAGTCTTCTGGCTCCAGTCTCTGAGCTGTGGAGCAGGTTTGACTGTAATGAAGATTTGGACAAAGGACAGGTGGTCTCCAGAGGTCCACAGCTGCTCCATCTCAGCTCCTCTCTGCTCCAGCTCAGAGATCTCTGTCTGGATCTGCTCTATCAGCTGAGACGCCTCCTCCTCCACCTGCTGATGCTTTTCTACAATGCTCTGTTTGAAGCTGTCTGCACTTTGTCAAACACACTCCATCAAAGCGGTGAAGACTCTGAGACCTTCTTGTATTTCTGCGTCTGCCTTTCTCTGACTCTGCTCCACTGAGCGCTGGATCTCCTGGACTTTCACACGTCTGTCTTTGATCTGTTTCTTCAGTGTGGCCTGCTGCTCCTCTCCCTGCTCCTTCAATAAGACAGTATGATGCTTTGTATCCTCTGTATAACTGCACTGCACGCACATGAAGTGTGAGTGGTCCCTACAGAAGAGCTCCAGGGGCCGATGGTGCTCAGGGCAGATGTGCTCCTCAAGGTTGGGCAGAGGGTGGATCAGCTGGTGCCTCTTCAGACGGGGGTTTGTGAGGTGTGGCAGCAGGTGGCTCTCACAGTACGACGTCAGACACAGCAGGCAGGACTTCAGGGCTCTGAGCCTGGGCTCTGGACAGACGTCACAGTCCAACTCTCCTGGAGCAGTGGACGGGTCACAGACCTCTCCTGGAGCAGTGGACAGGTCACAGACCTCTCCTGGAGCAGTGGATGGAGCCTCTAACAGCGTGTCTTCATCTTGAGGCTTATTTCTGAACAGAGAGCTCACCTCTAACAATAAAGTATTAACTTTCAGCTGTGGTTTTGGGCTGAAGACCTGTTTACAGACTGGACAGCTGCAGAGGACGCTGTTGTCCCAGTGTTTGTTGGTGCAGATGCTGCAGAAGCTGTGTCCACACGGTGTTGTGACTGGATCAGTAAAGACCTCCAGACAGATGGAGCAGAGAAACTGCTCCTCACGGAGAGAAGAGCTCACAGCCGCCATCACTGCAACAATAGACAAAAGAAAACACATTTGGTTTAGTGTTGGTGAAGACAAGAGGCCTCTGCATCTGTTAAAGATTCAACAGATTGAACGAGACTAGAACTACATCGTCTTCAGTCGCCGTGGAGACGCTTTGCACTTTGAATCCAAAATGAAAATGTGTCAATATTTTTTAACGCACTCATTTTGTGTCATTCATTAATCTTAATTAAACGCGTTAAAATCCCGATCCCAATATTTATACAAAGTGCAAAGTTATGTACAGAGTAACAAGTGGATAAAGTGACGTTCAGTGGACATTCTGAAGCTGCAGTATTGCACATGATTACAGTATTTACTATCTACAGATGAATGACATGTACAGGCTCTGCAGTTCTCATTGTACAGTCTGACAGCAGCAGGAAGGAAAGACCTGCAGAACCTCTCCTTCACACAGCGAGGCAGAAATTATAGAGAAAACTCCTTCTGTATTAAATCATTTGACAATTCAAAGTAAATTCCAGGTTAAAGACAGTTCTGTTTAGCAGTGCTACAACTGAGGGATTTTATATTTTTATCTTTCTTTAATGTACTGTGATTATTTATGATTTTAATGCTTTCTTGTTTTGTTCAGCACTTTGAGTTTCCTTGTGTATGAACTGTGCTATACAAATAAACTTGCCTTGCATATTGACAATACTACAGTAGGGAACAATGTACATTCTTTTGTCATTTCATCAGATTACCACCAAAGAAACAGAAAAAAAAATAACTATACACCCCAGTGCTACTCCCCATCCCGAATCCTTCTCTATCCATTTTTCTCTTTCAGTGTTGCCTCCAAATCCTCTCCAGTGATATCTCTCACATCCAGAATTTTTTGTGCAGAATCCTATCAACACGGTCCGATTTTTCATGAAGCGCTGATGTACTGTTGATGATGAAAGCAATGAAAGTTGGGAAGACAATTTTATCAACACACAAGAAGTTTCCTCTCGAACTTTTAATATTCTCTTCTCCCACTGCCTAAGCACGCTTTACCACATCTGCATATGAAATCTTTGACTCTTCTCTCAAACAACACACTTTGACTTAAAGCTGTTTCCGTGGACAGTCCATAGATCCAGCACGAGGCTTTCCAGAACAATGTACACATTCAGGTTCTTTGTTAGTCATTTCACAGTCCTCATTCACACACTTTTCACTGCCACATCTTGCACATTAAGCTCCCCTGCAGACAGCCACCACATGTCCATAAAACACCTCAAAGGGCGGCACGGTGGCTGAGTGGATAGCACTCTTGAGTCCTGACTAGAACCAGGAAGTACGACCACATTAGTCCAGTTCTCAGGTCTCTGCACTGGCTTCCTGTGGCTCAGAGAATAGACTTTAAAACAGCTCTGCTTGGTACAAGTCTCTCCATGGCCTCACACCAAAATATATTAGTGACATGTTAGTCCCATATGAACCAGCCCGGACTCTGAGGAGCACAGGGACTGGACTCCTGTTAGTGCCCAGAGTCAGAACTAAACATGGGGAGGCTGCTTTTCAGATTCATGCTGCTAAAATCTGGAACAATCTTCCTGAAGATGTGAGACAGGCCTCCTCTCTGACAATGTTTAAAACCAAGTTAAAAACGGTGCTGTTTAGCTGTGCATACAACTGAGGGATTTTATATTTTTATCTTCCTTTTTAATGTTCTGTGATTATTTATGATTTTAATGCTTTATTTTTGTTCAGCACTTTGAGTTGCCTTGTGTATGAATTGTGCTATACAAATACACTTGCCTTGCCTTGCCTCTCGCCTCTCAGCAAGAAGGTCCTGGGTTTGAATCCTGATTGGACCAGGGCCTTTCTGAGTGGATATTGCATGTTCTCCCTGTGTCTGCGTACTCCGGGTACTCCGGTTTCCCCTACCAGTAAAATCATGCACAATAGATCGGGCATGTGCCTCCTGTACTGGTGCCTGTGGTGCTAGTACAGTACAGTGGACAAGGATGGGCATTCAGCCAACAAACACTGAAAAACATTGTCAGATGCCAAATGATTAGTCTGTGACACATATCCTGCTCCCCCAGCCTCACACAAAAAAGTTGTAAAAGTCTCAGCATCTACTGTATGTTGCGGTTAGCAACATCCACCAACAAACCATGAGCACACAAAAAGTCAGTGCCGATGATTGGAACAGTCACAGAGGCAACTATAAAGTTGCAGCTGAACTCGCGCCCTCAAAAACAAATAATTGTTTGTCTAGTTCCAAAAGTCCCAATTGGAGAGCCATTTGCTGCCTATAGAGGAGGACCTTCTCCATGGCTCTTCTGAGAGCCTGAGTCTATCAGAGGCCGACTTTTAGAACAGAACAAAGAGTTTTATTGAGGAAAATGTCTCATGAACAAACATAACATCACACTAAACAGGATTCAAACCCACAACCTCCTGCACCACAGGAGAAGGTTAGGCATAAGTAAGTACATTGTCAGATTCTGTGCCTCTGCTTCCTGCTCTACTCCCATTCCCTTTGTGTGAGGACAGGGGCGGGGCCTGCACTGCACACCCGGAGGCAATCACCTGCTCTCTACAAGAAACCAGCTCTACAGCCTTTTGGTGCCAGATGGTTTCGTCTTCATCTGCTGGTGAAAATCCTAAGTTTGGCTAAGTCTCTTGAGCTATTTTTTGATCCCTGTACTTACCTAGTTTTGTTTTCTGACAGTTCCATTTTAATTTTTCACGCTTGAGTCGTTTTTTGGGTCCCATATTGTGCCATAACATACATGCTGTTTTATACCAGACACACACACACACCATGAACTATTGACACGCCGCCTCTTTCCGCCGTGTGCGAGCGAATCAACAAACAGCCTCAATAAGACAGGAGTTTATTTCACAGTAAACTGGGGACGTAATGCAAACCGCCGTCGATGCTCCGGTTCTCCAGCGTGATTTATCCCGAGCACCGGGCCCTTATCTAATTACACAAGACCAAACACGTGCGATGCCCCTATTGATCTACGGCAACCGGGAGCTTTCCATTTTCATAAACAAGGACAGGCGCGCACACATTAGCATGCTAACCGAGCGCGCGACACAGGACCTCCAGCTCTTCCTTCCCATCTCCGCATCGATTTTTCCCCCCTCGTCTTCTGTTGGAAATGATCGAAAAGCTTTAAAATATATATGAGTTCTCCCACGACGCGATACTTTACGACTGTATTTTAACGTACGGCTCCGGGATTGCAAATGCACCCGCCTCGATTTTTGTTCATTCATCAGTCCACAAGTTGTATCCTCTGCTCCTTTTTTGTTTTGCAGAAAGACTGGGAATTAACAGAATTTATTTCATTGGATGCTTTTAAGTCCAGATTTGTCACTTTTGCTGCCTCTAATCCAGGACTCCCTTGAAAAATAGGTTCTTAATCTCAATGAGACTTTCCTGGTTCAATGAAGGTTAGATTAAAAATAAATAAGTGATTAACAACTCGAGATAGAAATAATTAAGCAAGGCATTTATCATTTAGAGTAGAGTAGAAAGTAAAGCAGGAGAGGAGAGGAAGAGAGGAGAGGGGAGGAGAAAGGAGGAGAGAGGAAAGGAGAGGAAGGGAAAGGACACCGGAGGAGAGGAGAGGAGAGGGGAGGGGAGAGAGGAGATGAGAAGGAAAGGGGAGAGGAGGAAATGGGGAAGGGAGGAGGGTGGAGTAGAGGAAGGCAAATCAAATTTATTTGTGGAGCACAGTTTATACAAAAGGCAACGATTTGTGATTAACAAAATCACTCTCACACAGAATTCAAATCATAAATAACCACAACAATAAAAAAAGAGTAGAGTAGAGTAGAGTAGAGGGAAGGGTAGAGTAGGGTAGGGTAAAATAGAGTAGAGTAGAGTAGGGTAGGGTAAAATAGAGTAGAGTAGAATAGAGTAGGGCAGGGTAAAATAGAGTAGGGTAGGGTAAAATAGAGTAGAGTAGGGTAGGGTAGAGTAGAGTAGATATAGAGCACAGTAGAGTAGAGTAGATTAGAGTAGAGTAGAGTAGGGTAGATATAGAGTAAAGTAGATATAGAGCAGAGTAGAGTAGATATAGAGCACAGTAGAGTAGAATAGAGTAGAGTAGAGTAGGGTAGGGTAAAATAGAGTAGAGTAGAATAGAGTAGGGCAGGGTAAAATAGAGTAGGGTATAGTAGGGTAGCAAAGGAAGGTTTCTCACCCATCATCTGTACTTCTTAGCAAGTTTTCCCGACGTTTCGTCCTCAAACTAGCGGACTTCTTCAGGGAATGAATTCTCAGACCGCGCGTTGGAGATTTATAACCTATGGGTGTGGTAAGCCACACCCTAATCCTGATACTAACTCATAAACAATCTAAGGTCTGCTTGATGTAGAAGGGAGCAGGTCTAACGACCCTGCTGAGGCTAACGACCCTAACTCATAAGCATGTCACAGACCTATTGTCTGCTGGGATGCTCAAGTGGAGTGCAGGTCTCATCCCTCCTAACTCATTAGCATGGCACTGACCTTGTCCCAAGTTAGGGCGTTGTTTTTAGGATGTCGTCATAGAAGCGAGGCAAAACAAATCTTAACCCTCCTCCTCTGTTAAGAGAAGGTTTTTGTTTCCTCACAAAAATGGCTTCTTTCACTCCTCTCTCAAACCAATTCTTCTCCCGAGCCAGAATTTTAACCTCTGTGTCATCCACCGTGTGGTTGGAGGCCTTGAGGTGGAGATGAACAGCCGACTGTGGCCCACTAGAGTTTTCTCTACGGTGTTGGTAAAGTCGTTTCTGTAGAGTTTGTTTGGTTTCTCCAATATAGTGGTCAGTGCACTCCTCTTCACTACATTTAATTGAATACACCACATTGCTCTGTTTGTGTCTGGGTGTTTTGTCTTTGGGATGCACTAATTTCTGTCTTAACGTGTTGAAAGGTTTGAAATACACAGGGATTTTGTGTTGCCTAAAGATTCTTTGTAGTTTCTCTGAAACTCCCGCCACATACGGTAAGGACACCCCTCTCCTCCTACTTTCTTCTGTCTG